ATCAATCAATTAGAAAGACACATTACTAATTGAATTATATATAGATTTCTTTTTTCAAACATCTTACTATGAATAAGAACTTTCGTCTTAATTCAATCGAATAGTTTTATAGTATTTGGGCGCTGAGTTAATGTGAGACATTAAAGAGGAAGAATGTATATGCAAAATCTCAGCGAAAGAATTTGAAGTAAATCCAACGTTTTCGACTAGCAATCTGGTCTAAGCTTTTTTCAAGGAAATTGTGGTGTTTGAATGAACTAATGATTCTTTTGTACTTGTTGAATGATTGATTTCGAATTCTAAATACAGTACATTCGTTTGTGCGTATCTAGTACTTCTTGATTCGATTACGTTATTTCTAGCATTCTTAGTTCATACTATAATTCAAATACTCCTAATCATCATAGAAATATAATCAAATATAAATAAGTACATGGTTCTGTATACTGTATACACAATAATGCAAGTACCTATTTTAAACATTGTTAACGTTGATTGAATGACCTATTCAGTATACAGTAAACCGGAGCACCATGTACTTATTTATATTCGACAGTTCTGATTATATTTACTTGAAAAAGCTTAGACCAGATTATCAGGTGAAACGTTGGATTTACTTCAATTTCATTCCCTTAGATTTTATAAATACATTCTTCATCTTTAATATCTTACTATGAATTATGTATCTGTTTTTTTGTGGAAGTCATTCATATCACATCGTTCGCTATTGCTCAGTTCCTTTTCTAAACGACTATACACTAATCGTATTGATTTAGGTTTCAGAAATCGATAAATCACTAAAGATTCAGTTCTATTTATTTTGAATATAGTTCTGTATGAACGGTGGTTTGACAGTAATACAGGAAATATTTGATTGAATTATCTGTAGATAAAATAAAATTAATGACATACTTTTCTCAATAAGCTATGAACAGTAGCTTAATTAAAACAATTGGATATTTCTGAAAATTAGTTGGTGTAACAATTATTTTCTTCAGTAATTATCTTTGTGCACTTTTATTGTGAAACATAGATTTCCTACGGCATTTCGATAGTTTCTGACCTATTTGTTAGTCAGTCAGTGAAACATAACGTAGAAATTGGGACATCAATTCAATTTGCCATACGTCATTAGCAAATTGAGATGAAATTTTCAGAGTTAATCTCAGAACAGTATAGGTATTAATAACACGAATTTGAACAAAGCAAAAACGAGTAGTGCAGCAGAATAAGGTGAATCCATTTATGAGGTGGATTCTTATCAGCTACTTACAACCCAACAACAATAATGTAAATTACTTATAACTAACGTACATAACTTGTGTTATATTTAAAAAAATTTAGTAGAATAATAACATTAGTTATGGTATAATTCTATAGAGTTAAAGTGGATGAATATTTACATGTTACTAAATGTGAAAATTCCAGGAGAGAAATTTTCAAACACACTTCTCAAGAATAAAATTCAATGTCAAAGTTATACAATAACGACAATAAAGTTGAATAAACTAACAGAGTAAGATGAGTAAATCTCGAAAAAGAATGTCATTTAGGATATGAAATGAGATATTACGTCAACAATAGCAAACACTCACATTAAGTTGCCGGTTATGTGAATATTTTACTCACAGATAATTGATGGTTAGTGATTTCATAAATCAATTAATTTTCTTAGAACTGTCAAAAAAGACAGAAAATTCACGAATATCTGAAGTGATATATTTGATGGTAAGTTTAAGAAATAACAATATATACAGATAGGCCATACTCTAATTGCATAATATTCATTTTTGTACTGCTTAGTATTTTATACACAAGCATTACACTTTACTCGACATAGAAAGACTACATTTCCCGACGATATCTATCCATTCACAAGTTGTTAATAATTTGATTTTACATATAATCGTCGACCAATCATTTAACATCACTTCAGAAGATTGACTACAGGGACGCATAGAATTTTTCAATTGTAACATAAATCTCAACAATTCTCAGTAGTTCTATTCAGTTTCTACAGATAATAAACCGATAAAAGTGATTAACCTCTAATTCATATAAGAATCAGGAAATACTGGCCTAATTAGATGTCTAACATTTAACAATAGGACTGAAAATGAAGTATAGCTTACTGGAAACACTAGATTTAAAATATTGATAATAAAAGTTTTGCGAGGCAAAGTATAAAATCAGTATTATTACCTGTTTTTATCATCCATGTATTTGAATACTCTCAATCTCATTTTATGACAATCTGAATCTAAGATCTATATCTGATATGATTTCAAATCTCTACCTGATCGTCTAACTATTATTAACATACCGAATCCATAACCTGTGATATGTTAACCCTGAAATTTGACATTATACAAATTATTAGAAACCTGAATCTTGAATCTCTTGGGTACTTATCTTCCAACTATTTAGATATTAAAAAACGTTTTTTAACACTTTTCGATTTGTTGCAACAGACCAATAATCTGTAATATCCCTATTATCCACTTATGATCGTTTATATGGTTACGCGCTTGGCTCTAATTTCAATATGCAATATGTTCGAGCTAGTTCACTTAGTTCTGTCTTCAGTTTTGACCAATAGATTAGGTACTGAGTAACTCTGTGAATTACTAGTTAGCGTATTACGTTATATACTAACAGCACTTCAAAACATGTTGTGTTCAATAGACCAATAATATATGCATTTTCCGATTTAAGACTATTATATTTTTATTAAACAAACGATGAGTTAGTTATTTTATCAGTGTTAAACTTCGTTTAATGAACAAGAACGAAATATAGGGATTTTGAATGCATGGCCTAACGAAAACCCGACCAACAGTGTTCACGAACTATTAAAGGTTACATCTCTGCTTGTTCCATTTCGTTTAAACTTACAGCTTTTATAGCAATTAGAAATATCTTCTACAGTGCGTTGTAGGTAATGTGATAAACGTCTCTACCGTCTCATGATAATTGCATTAAAATTAGAAAGTTAACAGTTATTACTGTAGAAAATAAGGTAAGAATAATTTACTCACAATAATAGGGCAATAATTCGTATTCAAAGTAACACCCATTGTTGCGAAATCCTAATCAAATTTTACCAACCACTTTGTCTTACCATTACTAGACCGAGAGATTTGAAAGTTATTAATGGTTGGCACTCATCAGTAAGGTGTATCTGAAATCTTAAAGAAGCTGATGCTCATCGTCAATTCGAATAGACGTCACAGTGACATGAATAACTCAATGGTATCAGGAATAGAACACCATTGAATATTTTACAATGAGTAGAGGACTGCCAGATATCTGGATTGATATTCTTATTCTATGTTAAGTGTGCTGTAAATACTATAAATTACTGACACTATATGTAAGCTCCGTTCACTAACATAATGTCCAACTTCTTATGTACTTTGTTCTACAATGTAAAATAAATTTACAACAGTCATCTGTTTATATTTTTTCTACCCTGAATGACGCAGTTAACCGTATGAACTTTGTCCACAATAGAAGTACACTGGTAGTACAGCAAGTTTAACTTGGAATTACAAAATCTATAACCCATTGAAATGTCTTCATTTGTGCAAGATTCCTGGTATATGTACTGAATTACAATGAAAGATTAGTCCCAATGCCAAAATGAGATAATAAAATCCGCCGCTTGAGATATACATTACAAGGATAACCTGACAGAAAACAATAAGCTGATTTCATCAAAATTTGCATTCTTCGGTACTGCCGCAATATAGATGGGAAATAACTACTGACAAACGAATATCTGGATGGATAAACAACGGTACTTACATTCCTAGTAAATTTTACGAATAAATGATGAAAGTAAACTAAATAGGACTATTAGCAGTAGTGATGAGAGTAACACTAAGTAAAGAGAATATTGTTTTTTTTCCAATAGATTTGTTCTTTAAATTCATATCAGAAAAATACTTCCTAGAGAAAACTACACAAGGCAATAAATTACTTTCCAGTAGTTACATAAGTGACGTTTATCCATGGTTTACTGAAATGACCCATTGTAGAGAAGATCCAGTCACTCATCTCCATCGCCACAAAGTTAACGGTCAATGACTCATTAGTATTAGCTTACCATTGATAATCACATTTTTTTCCTAAATAATACTATTCATATGTCCGACATGATCTGAATCTCCTTTTATGAGACAAAATCAATGAAACCTTGCAAAGAACACTTAAGAAACAAGACAGTATTTTGAAGGCCGTTTAGTGTGAAAACCAAGTGTCGTACGTATGCACACTATTAATAAGGTAACTTATATGAATTGCATGAAACTGCATTTTATGAGTTCCGTGATTACGATTAGTGAAGAAATATGAAAATATCACAAAACAACATAACCACCTCCGATTACAAAAAATTAGGTTTCACATCTAGTATAATCCTTTCGTACCGCTAACCTGTGAAAAGTAGATGTACCTAGGACATGCAGTTTTAGTGCGCTGATTTTTGAAAACAAAACGTCAGAAGAATACACCTAGAGAGAACTAACAGATCTTATTGTTCTGACTATCAAGTATTGGTGGTGATTCCAAGTTTAAGGATATTTCCCAACTATGTAGGAAAAGATTGACTTCAGGTTCATCAAACTATAACGCATATAAATGAATAAACAATATTATCAATTACTTGACTTTCATTTAGATTCAATCTGGTCTGTTAGCTTACTCTAACATGAAGTACATGAGAAGAAACTAAAAGAAACAGATACTTCAGAAAGCAATGTTAACTTACTATTTTAAAGAGTAAGAGAGAAAAGATAGGTAGCCATTTACTGCATCATTAGCTTGTATATTCCTAATGAACATTAATCAAACAATCTTATCTTATGCAATTCTGCTTGTAAGCTATCTTTAGACTTATTAATCGTTGCGACATACTTTATCCATCATAAATTACAATCAGTTACCTAGTTAACCATCAACAGTCTCATGGTTATCCATATGTTGAGAACTACCACTTTTAATGTGTTGTGAGTGTATTTACTTGTATAATCACTTGTGTTGAGTTTAAAACAACAAAAGATGCTTGTGAACATTCATCTAAGATTCTGGATGAAAGTGTACGAGCATTGTATGACTTGTTGTGTGACGAACATAACGAAGTTAGTGGGATGTATGAGAGAAGACAAAAAATACTAATCAGGAAACTTCTCGTAAACTGTTATTTTTGAAAATACGCTGAATGAAAAGTAGTAGGTAAATACTACTTTCATAAAACTAAATTGTCATGTACTTTGATACAACTTTAATTAACTGAAATAATCTGATAGTATTAAACGCATAATATTTATAGAAATTCACACTATTGAATATGTATATACAATTATGAAAATAATGCCATTTCATTATGAAATAGGAAACATTAAAACAAAATCTAACGTCAAAAGCAAAATTATGTACACTTAAGATGTAGCGGCAGGTAATTGCTGAGCTTTTTTTAAGGAAAATCCTACAGATTCAGTAGAAAAGTTTTTACCTATTACAATATTACATTTTCGAATCAGTGAGACCGGAAGACATTTCAAATAGTTTCTCTTGGGGAAAAAAGGAATCTCGAGAGACGAACATAGCAGCTACTATTTTATATATTCGTTATTAGTTTCGATGTCTTATTATCCAACTCGTTGAGTGAACCACCATGATCCACACACTCCAGCTTGATGTCAGTTCTTTCTGGAATTACACTAGCCTCAAACTGATCAGATGGCTTACTCGGTGGGTTAACGGATAAGGAATGAATTCGTTTACATCTACGCTTATCAGTTCTAGAGTTGCTGACATATCTATATGAACCATGAAGTCCTCGTTTTCGCATCCACATAGGAGTGATTGAAGCCAGTGTTTTCTCATGACAATGATTAGATGCATCAGGTATACATACATCAGACTGTTTGTGTGATTCGTCTTTTGGTGATTTGGATTTTCTTGAAATTTGGATTGATGAGATTTGTTTCGAATTATTTTCAGAAGACTTGCGATTCCGGCAAAAATATTTTAATAATCCATTACTGAACCGTATATTCCTATTATTTGAATTCGATTCTTGGGAAAGATTTAGTATACCGGGGCCATCCACTTCAACATGAACTAAGTATTCTAAGCGGATAAGATATTCTTCATACAGTTCACAATCGTTATGACCAGCTCCACGAATAAACAGTGGTTCCAAAGTATTAGGAATACGTTCGTACAACTGCTGGGCATGGACTCGATCGATTATTTCATCTTCAGTGCCATGAATAATCAATGTTGGTGAAATGATCCGAGGAGCACGTACATAGCTAATCATCAAATAAATTCAAGGATATGATCAATATTTAGTTTTACTTATTTTTAAATATAACGTACGAAATAACAGTAGTTGAGAAAAAGGAGAGTCGTCTGGTGGATGACATAAGTCAAGATGAAATGAAATAAAACCAAGTACTTCCAGTGAATTATCATTAAATGAACATTACCTAACACTATGGTCAAAATAAAATATACATCACACAATCGTGATGAGCAAATCGAAGCTTACTTTTTAAAAAATGAATACCACCATGGTAGTATTGTAACTATTCGAATAATGCATAACCGTAATGTCAATACTTGCTCGTTAAAAAGCTGAATAATTGAACTCTTTCAAGATTGTCAGGTCACTGACTTATCGTAAGTTTACCTCGAATACATGAAGTCAATTTCTTATGAGAATATTTCCATATGTTATTGTAATACGTCTTGAGAACGGAACAAGGAATCATGCAGAAACGACAGTGTTATATATAAAATAGTGAAATAACAAGAATAACGTGAGCTTACAGATATATTTTGTTAAATAAAATCAGTAATTTATAAGCAATACTTATAGAAGCATTGAGATATTCTTTAAAATTGGGCATATGACAATTATTATTCGTTAAATCGAAGTGATAACATTGAAAATACATCAATTTTCTTTTACCTATTGTTAACAATTCTGAATAAATTAAATAATTGATTATATACATAAAAAATATTCACATTAGTTGTTTTATCCATTTAACGATTGTGAAAGATATAAAGACTTTTTAATTTGAAATAAAGTATATGAAATTATGTTTTTTTTTAAAAAATTTTGATACATGGCAATTTTACAAGCGCATAATATAAGCAACCTAAAGATGATAAGGAGAATTAAGTAGAACATAAACAAGAAGAATACATCAGCATACTACATGGAAAGTAATAATAATAAATACATTCAAACCATGAGTAAAAGTGCATGTATTACAAATTACCGGTATTATGACTTTGGAAACAAAACGAAAGCACAAATGCGATGCCACCTCAGTAAATTCACAAAAATGGAATCCAAAAGAAACGAAAAACAGTTAAATACATTGAAATATAGTGATCGATCTTATGTAAGTGTCACAGAGTTAGAAAATTTCGAGGTTATTGTGGATCTATATTCATGTGAATCTCTTGCAGAACACTGTTCAGTTAGCACTGGATCAGAAATATCAGATGTTGATGTGGATTCAAATGTATCCACCATATTTTCCAGAAGTTTGTTGTTAAGAATTTGTGTTATTTTTTCAGAAGAAAATTCGCGTGGTAAAGTCCATACTTTTTTTGGCATTTGTGAATGACCTTGATCAATCTCAGTTTCCAAAAACTTTGATGTCAACTTCCGAGGCAAAGTATTTATTTTTCCGTTCTTCTGAGTATGTAAAGACCATAATAGCTTAGATGATTGGAAAAAATCTGAATCACCATTTGTAGGTGGTGGAGGAGGTGGAGGGAGAGTAAGGTCACAAATTTCAGATGGAAGCGAATGCAAATCATCAAGCGAAACGCTAGACAGACAATCAGGTGTAACTACCGAAAACTGGGAAACTACAGCTTCATTCTGGTCCATGCATTTTTCCACAACAATCTGGCTCCCTTTTTGCACATCAGAATCGTTGAGGCGTCTACTAACACCAATCAGACAGGCACTAGTATCATCAACGGACTTAAAGCATTTTTGAGATGATAATGATGGTGTTGGACTGGTTCGTTGAGGAGGATGAACGATCTCATCAGGTGGTATTTGTTCGCAGACGTTACTTACACTGAGCCTGCTAGATATTGAGTCTGAGGTTACATTCCAAGACGGCTGTGAGAAAAAAACCTTTGTTAATTTGTCTTCCTCTCCTCCTACTGTGTTGCCATTCATACTAAAATACCCATGAGAATTTAAAGAAACCGGTACAGAGTTAGAACTAGATAACTCTGCCTGACTATCCTCTTTAACTGTTTCTTTTCCCAGTAGTTTACACGACTCTACTTCCGTATCTTCCACTTCAGTAACATTTTGTGAATTGGGATTCGACAGTAATCGAGGTAATTCCACAGTAACCAACTTAGTTAAGCGCAAAAGATACTGAGGGAAAAGTTCGCAGTCATTATGTCCGGCTCCATCAATGAAAAGAGGATCCAACAATAGATGACCTGCTACAGCAGAGCATATACGGTAACCATGAGTAACGTTCACAACCTCATCACGCGTCCCATGAATTACTAATGTAGGTGAGATAATTTTCGGTGTGCGTGCAAGACTGAGTCCACGCAGAAGGCAGCAATCATGTTCAATAAACGAAGAAAATGTCAAGACAAAAAACAAACTGCAATTCTCTAATAATAAAGATTGAAATGTTATAAACTAATATAACAGTTTACTGACCCCCAGTAAACGAAGGGAAAATTATTCCACATTAGCGACACAAAAATATTGTAAATATCACGGTTATTAATGAGCTGATTTTGACTTCCTACAGATAATTTACCCCCCCCCAATAAACTGTAGTAGATTGTCATTACGCCACAACAAACACAAAGTTATTTCTATTTGATTCAGTCACATTAGAACTGACCAACAAAGACCCAAAGTCAAAGAACTGAAATAGCTTTTAGGTTATCAAAGCTGACAACATGCACGGGGACCACTCAACATACATAGAGATGGTGACCCAAGGACATACTTGGTTACAGTGGCACCTACCGTACAAATTTTATGACCAGATTAGTGACTTCATTTGAAAACGCAGTCATAGTTTATGAAATAACGGGAAGCATGTTAAACTTTACAAATGAAATTAAACACCTGGAAAGGTATATGTGCAGTTATTTCTGCCTTGGTTTGTTTATTATAACTTTTAATTTTCGTCCCCTTTCCATATGCTTTTCAAAAATATGTAGTAACCCGAATTAATTAATACTCATAACTAACTGGGTAAGACAATTTTGTTTTCCAGAAAATGGCAGGTACTGGCTGGTTGCTGAGCCCAATGTATTAGACCACCTACGGTCAGTCATTAAATGTTGACAAAGATGTTCTAGGGCCTACACAATCTAAGATGACCGTCTACTGGCAACAAACACGGTTAACTTAACAAGGTAAGAATTTTAGGAAGGAGCATCATACCACAAGTTTCTCTTAACATACATTGGTGGTTTGAACCTCTCAATATCTCTTACTTCACAGCTATGGGGATAAACGAAGTGTGGCTGACCTTGAGCGGTACCAACAGAAGTACTAAACTATTCTACACACTGATAGTTTGGTGGCCTAAACCATTTTACACGATCCAGACTAATAATTAGTGACTGGCAGTCAATTTCACTGACTATTCCTGGTTGTCTTTAAGCCGCTTCACACCATGCAGTACTGTATATCAAGAAATTTAGCGGCCAAAAAGGTGTAGCACATGACCTAACTAATATAGTAAACCAGGAATAACAACTTCAACCGTTTCGACTTAATTACCCAATAATCTACATCAAAAATACCAACAGCCATTTTTGAAAGATTACATAAGATACTCCTGCCTTTCAGGAGAAAAACAGACAAGGAAACAACAGGTTAGAAAATACGATAACTTCAAGACGAACTAAAACTTACTTAGAGAAGACATCACAACAGTAATTGCGCTTCAACCTCGGGAAAGCTACCCTTAACCCGGACATCAGTGGCGAATGTAGTACGACAGCAGCAACTCGATGAAGAGTAGCCAGATGTATTGTCGGTACAGTTCCGATGCTCTGACCGTACAAAACAATTTGGTTTAAAGGGATAGAATACTTCGTTCTTAAAACATTTAATGCACACTCAGCATCAGCATAAAGGTTTTTTTCCAAAGGCTTTCCAGAAGACACTCCATAGCCTGAATAATCGTAACACATGATGTTAACGTTCAACTTGCTCCCCAGTTCATACATGAAGTGAAGCATCAGACCCAAGTCCACAGCATTCCCATGGCTTAACAAGAAAGTAAGCTTAGATGAAGAATTGATGGGCATATAAAGAATCGCAATATTATTGCCTCTTCTTGTTGTAGCCTTCATTGATTCCATGCTTTCTGGGACAAAATGGATAAATGAATCTTTCAAGTATGAAGCCAGAGTAAAGCTGTATGTAGTATGCCCCCCTTCAGCATGCTCCGTCAGTTTATAACTGGGAAGTGGAGGCATAAATGCCAACTTAGCTGCAATTTTAGATGGTAATGGAGGACAACACAATAGCTGACAAATACTGTTACAGCTTAAATCATTCATCGGTCTTCAATAATGTTGTAGAATAAGCTTTCACTGGGAAACAAGGATGCACTAAAGAAGTCCTATGTCCAGTAATTTTTAAACATCGTTGTCAGAGAAAGTTCATAGTTAAATAGAATGCTGTCTGGCACCCCATCCAACTTTCTCGACTCACTCAAACATGGCACATAATTGCCGCCTAAAAAAGTTCAGTCTTCATTGGAACATTGCAATAGCCAAGTTGACCTTCATTTTGTTTAATACCTGCTACCTCCAATATATCCCCAATGTCTTCAGTATGAGCTTGTATAAACCGAATAATTATTTGCGCTCGGTACTTGTTGTTACGGTATGGTTTCAGATGTTTGGTATTGTCGAATGAATGGTAGTCTAGTCACTCGACTACAGTAATTCTAGTCGGTTTTGTAGTTATTCGTGGATTTGTGTACCTTGTATTTTTAGTGAGTGTGTTTGTCTCGGGACAGTAGAGATCCCGGATACCAACAACTATCAAGTTTCCAGGCAGTAGGTTGGTTGGTTGCAATGTGACAATAATGAAGTGACAAGTCGATTGCTAAGAGAAGACCACAGTTTCCATATTATGTTATAGGTCTACTGGTTGGTAATGCAGACATTTGGAGAATAAGGAATCAAAAGAATAAAAAGGGAAAATGATATGATAATGGGGGACATTGGAGGTTGTTCCTGATGTAGCGGTAAATAAATCACCAAAATAAATAGCTCTGTAAGTCTTCGACATTGGATGCTGACCACATTAGTTTTAATGAACTCACCTAGCTGAAGGCGCTCGGTCATGCATCCACACCAGGTCACGAGTGGGAACGCTGTGTCCAACAACCCCTGCAATAGCTAGCCAGATTAGATCAGACGATCCTCGATATTTTGATAGCCTATCAAATATATCTTCGAACCTCCTCGCTTCTGTCTTTTGATTTCACTTGGTGAGTACGATGCATATTAGTTGTTACTGGTTTAAGCGTTGTCAAACTCCGAATACCCGTGGCATCTTCACTCCTGACAAGAATGTGTGGTCAGATTCGTGGAAACACATTATGCTTATATATCGCATAGTTCTGATAATCTTTGTTTTCTTACTACACCATCGAATGTTACTTAGGCATGTATATATTTTTTTAAATAGTTGACCTTATTTCAATTATGAAACATTTCTACAAGCGACATCTAGTACACCTGTCATTACACTATCAATTTTTAATTTTTTATTACTACTTTTATTTTCGTAATCTTTTACATTATTATCACTGAATCATAAACTGCATTGATTGGTCTTAACATTCCATATGTACATGGAAGTATTACTCAATATCGGAGAAAAACCTGATAAGGATCTAATCGAAAACAATATTTTTGTCTTACACATGTCATTTTAAGTTCGTGATCTGTTTCGATCGAGCGGTATCTTAAGTGTGATTCATTGCTGAGACGTGAGATCTGTCCATTAGAGTGAAGGATAAGACGCCACAGGTATTTGGAGCTTGACAACGCTTAAACCGGTAACAACTAATATGCATCGTACTCACCAAGTGAAATCAAAAGACAGAAGCGAGGAGGTTCGAAGATATATTTGATAGGCTATCAAAATATCGAGGATCGTCTGATCTAATCTGGCTAGCTATTGCAGGGGTTGTTGGACACAGCGTTCCCACTCGTGACCTGGTGTGGATGCATGACCGAGCGCCTTCAGCTAGGTGAGTTCATTAAAACTAATGTGGTCAGCATCCAATGTCGAAGACTTACAGAGCTATTTATTTTGGTGATTTATTTACCGCTACATCAGGAACAACCTCCAATGTCCCCCATTATCATATCATTTTCCCTTTTTATTCTTTTGATTCCTTATTCTCCAAATGTCTGCATTACCAACCAGTAGACCTATAACATAATATGGAAACTGTGGTCTTCTCTTAGCAATCGACTTGTCACTTCATTATTGTCACATTGCAACCAACCAACCTACTGCCTGGAAACTTGATAGTTGTTGGTATCCGGGATCTCTACTGTCCCGAGACAAACACACTCACTAAAAATACAAGGTACACAAATCCACGAATAACTACAAAACCGACTAGAATTACTGTAGTCGAGTGGCTAGACTACCATTCATTCGACAATACCAAACATCTGAAACCATACCGTAACAACAAGTACCGAGCGCAAATAATTATTCGGTTTATACAAGCTCATACTGAAGACATTGGGGATATATTGGAGGTAGCAGGTATTAAACAAAATGAAGGTCAACTTGGCTATTGCAATGTTCCAATGAAGACTGAACTTTTTTAGGCGGCAATTATGTGCCATGTTTGAGTGAGTCGAGAAAGTTGGATGGGGTGCCAGACAGCATTCTATTTAACTATGAACTTTCTCTGACAACGATGTTTAAAAATTACTGGACATAGGACTTCTTTAGTGCATCCTTGTTTCCCAGTGAAAGCTTATTCTACAACATTATTGAAGACCGATGAATGATTTAAGCTGTAACAGTATTTGTCAGCTATTGTGTTGTCCTCCATTACCATCTAAAATTGCAGCTAAGTTGGCATTTATGCCTCCACTTCCCAGTTATAAACTGACGGAGCATGCTGAAGGGGGGCATACTACATACAGCTTTACTCTGGCTTGAAAAGCAATGGGATTCGAACAATTCCACCTGCAAAGTTTACAGTTGTTAAATGTCAAGGCGGAAAAGTGAACGTTGCGCTACGTAGATGTAGGTAGTAGGTGTAAAGGTCGAAATCTTGTATTCGGAGTAATGAATGATAATCAAGAAAATGGTTCATTGTTGGTTATATGTCCTATATTTCTGTTCCTTATTGTAATATCGGAGATGAAAATGAGTAAAAACAACGTTTTATACTGTTTAGAACTTTTGAAACGATGAAGAACTCAACAGTGAAATGATGTTGGTCCTATTCGCCGTTTATTTCAATTTCTGTAGGTTGTATATAACAGGCAAATCAATAAAGTTTTTAAATAACAAGCATTAGCGTTTAGTCGTAGTACAGATTCTAGTTTTAAGTGGCATTGGATTTCTTAGAACCAAACAGAAAACGTCCATTACATTTTCTAATGAAATCCACTCATTTTTTCGTTATTGCTGACATCATTTTGTGATGGAAACGAAAATGTGTGGATTCCCAGAAGTGTATTTGGGCCGTCATAAGGGTTCGCGAAAACAACACATGCTTGAAGCCGAATTTATGTCGTTGTTTCTCTCATTTTCGAACAGACGAACATGTAGAAGGTATTGTTTCTTCCACAAACCATTCATTTACGTAGTTTGTTTTGTAGTAGAACTGGCTAGAGATTTGTCAGTTATTTGAAGCGTGTCCATTCATTAAATTCTTTCGTGTTTACTAATGAACCCTGAAATCCCATCGAACTCTACAGACTTTAAATGTCTACGTTTGGTCGTGTTTTGTCCCTTTTTTTTCCTTGTAGCTTACTAAATTCAATATCAATTCGACTTTAGACTCACTAATAATAATGCGGTCTTATATTTTAGTAATTTTCAATAATAACAGTTAATATAGGATTCGTGCATGGTTTCATGTCATACAGGAGTCGAACATGTCTTTAGTCAATATTTTCATGGTAACTGACGTTTTATGTGCTAGGACTGAATAATATTTAAGATATAAAGATGGATTAAAACATTTTTCGACTTTGCCTTCTCCAGTCATACTACTCCGTTAATGGCGACCTCTCCAAGATAAGTCAAGCAGTAAAATAGGAATTTATGCATTGGTGGAAAGTAGTATGGTTATAAGCAGTGGCTAATCAGTTTTTATCCCCAGGTTATTTGTTAAGGTTGCTATTTTTCGATGTTGGTACTACCTGGTATTATTTCAAAAGGCTGGACATTGGCATAAATCGAAATTATGTCGATTGCATTGCTTCAGTCTGACGAAAGTTTTGTAAGCTATATATCAGTTCCAGTTATTGTATTTCCAATTAGCATAGTGGTATAAGATTATTGACGTAATCAGTAGTAGTGCACTAAAAAAATTGAAAATAAAACAAGCAGTGGAATGTTAAAAAAATATGACATTTATGGCTTAAATGAAAGTAAAGGATGTGTGTGCATATCGTAAATTTATTCAAAGCGGTTAGCGTACTGTGTTTCCCAGCTGCTAGGAATCGATCTAGACAAATCACAAGACTAAGCCGTGTATTCAATCACTGAAATACTTGTACCATGAGCGTGGTTAGACGCAGGGTATTAGGAAAGGATGGTAAATCAGTTGATGAGGTATGAATCTTCATCGACTGAGATGGTTGGGCCACGTGTTATGTATGCCTGAACACCGATTACCACGACGTGCAATGCTATCCAGTATTGGAAATGGTTGGAAGAAAGTTAGGGGCGGCCAAACCAAAACGTGGCATCAGTGCTTGAAGTCACTAACTTCTAGTCTGAGCCATGTTGGTAGATGCAGACTACTTGGTTGAGGTCTGTGTGACTATCGTAACCGATGGTTGGAGACTCTTAGTGACATGGCTCAGAATCGATCACAATGGCGTCGGTGTATACACTCCCTGTCTTCCCTTAAACTATGAGATTAAAATCGCTTCATATCTTTCTTTCTACGAACCAATTCTTTCTTCTTGTACTATATCTCTATATGCAATCTTTCTCTTATATATTACCACCTTTTACCTAACCACTGTTATGAATCTGGTGTTCATATTGTTGTGCTGACGCGGTATGGCAACCTGGACCGATGCGCATATGTGCCTGGTCCTACGTTGTAGCTGACTGACTGACTGACCATGAGCGTCAACACCATTTAAGTTGTTTGTAAAACTGCATCCACTCAGCATCAGATAATAGGACTATGCCGTTTGTATACTTTAATTCGACGAGATAATTCTGGATCAAAGATTAGTCGTCATAAATAATATGCTTTTTCTAGAAATACATGTATGGCAAAGTTTTGTTAGTATAAAATTGAATTACACTAAATAACACCATTTAAGTAGAAATTTCAAATGATTGCTCACCGTTAATTTAGAGATTTGGTCAATGCACGACCAACAAGACATGATTCCTGTTTATGTTTTCTTATTTCGTTGTTACTGAGCCCCATTTAGGCGTTGCATAATTGTAATATCTAAGATCTCAAAAGCCAAGTTCACACTCCTACATTAATTACATGCGTTTTCTATAAAATGAGAC